TTGCAAGCTTGTGATTGAGATTTTAATTTCATCTATATCTCTTTGACTCTGCTTCATGTGATCTATTTCTTTTCTGTATTGCTCATTTAAGGAATCCGTCATTTTTCTAATCTCTTCTATTTTTTTTTTTTATCAATGTCTTCTTTAGAAGCAGTTATAAATTCTTTTACTGCAGTGTTTTTTTCAGATTGGGTTTCCTCCTTATGTTTCTCCAGTTGATTCTTTACTTCAGATGCTATGGGTTCTGAGAATTCTTTTTTTATTTCAGAAAAGAATTATGCTCTGAGTTCCTCTATAACTTTCTGCTGTTTATTTACTATCAACGCTTTTAATTCATACATTTGAGCTGAGCTAGTAAAAAAGAATTCTGCTCTGAGTTCCTCTATGACTTTCTGCTATTGCTAATTTACTATTGACGCTATTAATTCATACATTTGAGCCGAGCTAGTGTCCTCTGCACTTGTTCTGGGTGGGCTTTGTGTTTCTTCCATATGTTTCTGCATTTGATTCTTTACTGCAGAGGTTATTAATTCAGGGATTTCTTTTTTCATTTCCAAACTGAGTTCCTCTATACATTTCTGCAGCTGTTTCTTTATTTCAGAAGCCATTGATTCACTGCTTTCAGCTGTGTGATTCCCAATTTGTTCTGTGTTAGTGTCTTCTGCAATTGTTATGGGTGAGCTTGGGTCCTGAGACTGCATTTTGCTCCTTCTCGTTGTCATTTTGTATAGCACCGTCTTCTGACCTTTGTTGTAGAGCTTTGTTGCAGTTATAACCTTAGCATGTACTGAAGTTCAGATGCAAATCTACAAAATTTGGATTTATCCAGCTGTGCCTGGCTTGGGTCTGGCTGCTGTACTCAGCTCCTTCCTGATGCTGCCCTTGGGGGTGAACCTGTGTTGCCCCTCTGGCAAGATGTTCTGCTCCTGGACTAGCTGGGTGGTTCCGTCCCATACACTCTCTGCAGGGATTGCAGCTGCAGGGTTTCACCCCAGGCCTATATGCCAGGCCTGAACTGAGTCTGGAGGGGACAAGGTGGAGTAGAGGGGAGAGGCAGCTCTCCCACATACTCACCGTGCCTGGACTAGGACTGGATCTGGGGTTTCCCGGAATGCAACAGAAATTCCTACTCTGTGGGCGGGGTATGGGGGGTACTACAGAGTGATGGGGGGCATCCCAAGAAGGTGAAAGAGGGTGTCACCCACGCTGCGCCTGGGTTGGGACCAGTAGGTCACACCAGCACAGGGTATCAGGAAGCTCTCCCACACACTCACCGGGCCTGGGCTAGTACTGGGTCTGGGGGTTCCCAGAACACAGCAGAAATCCCTACTCAGCGGGCAGGGTTGGGGAGGTGGTGCAGAGTGGTGGTGGGTGTCCCAAGGGGGTAGAAGAGGGTCTCACCCACACTGTGCCTGGCCTGGGACCAGTAGGTCCCTCTGGTGCAGGGTAGCCGGAAGCTCTCCCACACACTCACCGGGCCTGGGCTAGGGCTGGGTCTGGGGGTTCCCAAGTGAGGCAGAGAACAAGCTTGTAGGGACACCAGGAGGAAGAGAGGAAGTGTGTGAGACAGGAGAGTGCAGAGCAAGAGGCCAAGTCCTGAGAAGCAGGCTGAGGGCAGGGGCGGGCCGATTCCAGGGGGTTAGGGAAGGAGTCTATTGATGTGGAAGAGCAGGAGGCCAGAGTCAAACTCATTACTAGTATATAAATAAGAAGGGTTTTTCCAGATTTATTCCAGAGGGCCACAACCGAGCACTTTCTGTTTCCCTATGGAGCTGCCTTGTATGTTAGTATCAATTCAAATTAACTGCGGATAACCAGCATACAGTGGTAACAGCTGCACAGCCAAATTAGCCTGACTTAAAGAAAAAGGAAGAGCTGCAGCCATAAGCTGATATTGGGAGCAGCGTGAATCTTTCTTTAAAGATCTGATCTGTGATACCTCCTAATCAAAATGATTTCAGTGTTGTGTTTTATGGACAAAAGCCTAACATTTTCAACAAAGATACACATTTTTTACAAGTTTAACTAAATGATTACAAAAATATTGTGAACTTTTAACTAGCAAGTATTAAGGTTAGTACAAAGGACTATTAAATAATTTCCTATACACAAGTCATTAAAAGGCTGTTCTAGGTATAAGCATGCAATGACAGGTGTCATTGAACACTTTGGAAAATAGTGCATCATGGAAGACAATTTTTCCACTGAAAAGCAACAGACAGAAAAGATACCATAAAAAATTTCTGAGATGCATCTTCTATTACTTCTCTTACATTTTTGTTTATTAAACATGCATTTTCTATAGATTTTAGCAGAAATTGGGGGAGATAAACACCAAGGTCTAAGAAGAGATTTGATTTTTAAAGTCAATGCTTTTTTTTTTTTTTTCATGTAATTAGTTAGTACAGGGTCTACAGGGTCTCACCACACAGATCAGACTCATTGTGATCCTTCCTGTTTTTCAGCCTCTCAAGTGCTGGGATTGCAGGAATGTGCCACCATGCCCAGTCTCATCTGCTGTCTCAGCATCACCCATGGGCAGGGCTAGCCCAACAGGCTGGGGATGGAACCCCCAGCCCTGGCGTCTGCTTAAGCAAGCATTTTAATACACTGAGCTATCTGGCCAGTCTGAAATCAATGTTTCTTTAAGCTTTTTTTTGTAAATAGTCATTAAGCTACCAAGATGACACATCTATCCATCTTACTAAGTATGGTAAATTACTGCTACTACAACTATTTATTTAAACTACAAAGTTTATATCCCCTCCTTACCATGAGATTCAGTTTTTCCTTTCTGTTCTGACAATTTAAAACTCAGTCAAACCCAATTAATGTATACTTATGAATTAATTAAAAAAACAATAATTAAGTGGCTTTATAATTAGAGTTCCTTTACACTTTCTTTCCCAGAACATTTAAAATATTTTAACTTTTAAAACACAAATTCACTTACTCATCTTTGTATTCACTGTGTTATCAGGTATTGAATTATTCATTTATAATAACACTATAGGACTGGAAGTGTTGATTATCACTCCAGTACTTAGATTTGTGGGATTAATGATTGTTTTGTGCACAATCTTTGTGGAAACACATTCTATTAGGCTTCTGTCTACCGAGATTATTTCACGACTTTGCACAGTGTACTAGATCTTCTCTGAAACTATAGGTAAAGCAATTTAAATCCCCGGTATGACTTCACCCAGGGAAGCCAAAGTTCTTTCTTCCTGAACATTAGAACATGGCCAGAGGCAGAAATGCAGGTCTTTGAAGCCCTGAGAGCTGGCATGTCAGTCTTCACCCCCACGGTTCTTGTGACACTGCTATACTCCTCAGGCTCCCCCCCTTAATCTCTGCCCCTTACTGTGGCATCGCACGCCACGATCTCGAGAGCCTGCAGAGATCAGCTTTCTGGACTCCTGAGCTCCGGAGGCCTCTTTTCCAACTCAGCAGCATCTCAACTGCACAGCTCCTATATCCCCACCTCCCCTCTGCCCAGCAATCCTGACGTGGTGTTTGCTGGCCCTTGTTCCCAGTGGACCCCAACACATGTAAAGGCACGCTTCCCTTTCTGCTTTCTTGGGCTACTGGGACCACTCTGCTTCCATTTTCACTCTACTTAACCAAGACCGATTTTCACATCATGTAAGTCCTTAACCCAGTACCCCGCCTTCTGCACCAGTCTTTGGATGGAGTCTCACCTCCCTGCTGTACTCACTGCTCAGGCTAATACTGAGCCTTACTAGGAAAGGCCAGGAAAGCATGGCAGCTGGTCTTTCTGGTGTGTCTACATCTAACTTCAATGGCTCTTTCTCGCTAGAGAGGCTTCCCTTTATTGGTCCCTTCAGTAACCCGTGTTCGGCTGCTTTGAGCCTTTTCTAATCCCAGACAGAACCGTTCGGGTCTCACACTATTCTCCACCTGTCCAGGTAGCCAGTTTACTGTCCCACAGTTTACTAAGTTTTCAGCAGTCCTCTCTCCCTGTCCTCCTCCTCAGAGGAACAGCCTTTCCTCTAGTGAGTGCAAACTTCCCGTGCTGTGAATACATTCTATTGGGTTGTTTCCCTGCTTTCCTCCCACACACTACAAAACCGTCTGTGGGCGATTCTCTAACACCTTTGTTATATTACAGCGCCACCGACAGGCGATTGCTCTTCTGACTGTTTGCGCAGGGTCTCAGGCACTGCTGCACACACCCGCAACGGTGCATTCCCTCAGTCTCCATGTCACTTCCAACTGAGTGCCCACATCTCCAAGTGCCCCTTCCCATTTCGTCATCGTTCACTAGAGGAAGTGTGTTCAGTATGTCTAATCTTAGACCAACTGAATTGGTAAGCAAAATAAAGGCAATTTACATCTGCTGGATAAGCGAAATAAACAGAATGGTGTATCTTACTAGCAATATTTTGTAATTATACTCCCAAACCTTTTCATAAGATAGGGCATTTGGTACACCTATCAAATAATGTTTTATAGCCTAATTCAGGAGATTTAGTGTTTCTTTGTAATAAACTGAAACAAACAAATGTTATTTAAAAATAGGGTACAGACTTACCAGTCTCCGTCTTTCTTCTTCTACTGTAATAAGTAGCCTTGCAAATTCCTTTAGTGATTGTGCTATTTTTTAAAAAAGAAAAGAAGTGTTACTCTTCATTCACAGCTAATAATTACAGAAGAACACAGATTTCAATAAAGCTAGTCTCTAACTTAGTATTATATTCTGCACTTTTATGTTGTAGCACCACACATTATACATAGTAAGATTCTAATGACTCACAGTATAGACAAGAGATGCATATTTTGCTGTGTTGCAAAATGAGGTTCAGCCAGTATCAACTATAATATTTCTTCTTCAAAGATAACATGAGAAATATGATTTATGCATTTACTATAGAAAATGTATTACTACATGAAAATATAGTCCTGGAATCACTTCTACATAGTGACTACAAACATGAAATGTTTCAAATACACAACTTTGTGTGTATTTGTACACACTCTTGAGTCCAGAACTCAGTGCTCTGCTCACCCAGGTAAGTGCTACATCACTGAGCTACCCTCCAGCCTCAAATATGAAACATTTGTTAAAAAGGCAAGCAATTGGCAGGGCAATAGCTTAGTGGTTGCCTAGCAAGCACAAGACCCTGAGTTCAATCCCCCAGTATCCCCCAGCTCCCCACCAAAAGCAAACAATCAAGTACTATTTTGATGTGCTTAGTAGAAAATAATAATGCAAGGCTTCCCACTGAATTCTAGAAACTCAGGGACTTACATGTATTTCAAAAATGGATTCTACATGCTGAAGGGGTCAATGTATTCCCACAACTGAGGCAATCTAAAGCTTTGCTATTTGATTAGGTAGCCAGAATAGACCAGTATTTTGGGAGTTTATTAAACAGAAATGCAATCTCTCAGGCCCATCCCCAGAGTCTGCCTTTTAGCATGATCTGTTTGTGTACTGTAGTCAGGAAATCCTGTGTTAGAAAGCTATGCATCCATACTGCCCCGCTTTTAACAGAAATTAGAGAAGGCAAAGTTGCCTAAATTAGGGACAAAAATTAAGAATTTGGAAACACTAGAAGGACAAGTTCAAACTGATAAATTAATGGGGAGTTACAGTACCACATTCTTTAAGACTGTGGAGTCCTAAATGGCAGTCGTAAAAGGGTAATTCATCTATATCAATTTCATACCAAATACATAACATGAGTTATTAACTAAAATTTAGGGGCTGGGGAGATGGCTCAGTGGAATAAATGCTTCCCTGGCAAGCGCAAGGGTCTGAGTTCAATCCCTGGTTCCGCAAAAAAAAGAAAGAAAGAAAAATTAAAATCTAAATGTTTGGGATAAAAAATGGTAACACACATAAAGTGCAGAGTTCATGTTTCTTTAAGCTTTAAAGTATGCCTTCTAGTCCTTAACATGCAGCACATCCTCTGTCCCAAGTGGCAGTTTTGAAAGAGTAATTCACTTACATCAATTTTCATATCAAATACATAACACAGTTTTGAGGTAGGGCTACAGCTCAGCCACAAAGCCCTTGTCTAGCATGGTAGAAGGACCAGGGTTTGATAGCTAGCACCACAAAATTAGTAAATTAATTAATTTCCATGTAGGACTCTTGTCTCTTCTGAACTAGAGCGCTTTATGCTAACCAAGGTTGTGTTATATGCTAGCTCTACAATTACTTCATATTGGGTTTTATTCAGTTACCATAACAAAATCAAAAGATTACTTGGGACTGTGGGTGATCTGATAAACACATTAATGGCCTAAGAATAAATGTAATTCTTTTTGAGTTTAGAAAAATGAAATATTAAAGGGTGGCGAGATAGCTCGGGCAAGCACAGGGACTGGGGTTTGACTCCCCATACTGCATGCCATGCCTGCCCCGTTCCGGGTGCACTGAGCCGCCCACAGAGACTGGGCATGGGCACACACCTGTATTCCCAGCACTGGGGAGGCTGAAATAGGAGGATCACCATGAGTTTGAGCTGTGTAGTGTACCAAACACATTAATTTGGTAACCTGTACCAAATACATTGAGAAAAAAAGAAAGAAAAATGAAATGTTAATTTCTTCAAAAATATTGAAATTAATCCTGTATCACAGGTTTATGATATTAGGTTGAAAAGGAAAATATTTTATAAAGAGCATTTTTTTAAAAGTTTTACTGATAAACAGATAGCAATGAGACAGTTTCAAATCAAATCGGAAGTACAGTTTCAACAAATAATACACTGCATATATTCTTCTTAGTGGTTCATTTGTGTACAAGATGCAGACTTGTGATCCTATTTACAAACACAATTAGAACAAATCATTCTATTCATTAAGAGAATGCAACTATATCTCTATCCCAACCTCTTTGAATACACAGATACAAAATGGACATTCATCGGTATACCCCATTTTTTCTAAGTTCCGTTATTGAATATTATAGGTGTGTAAATTCAGCAAAATATTCTAAAAGAGTCCAGTAGCCCATAATAGCATTGGGTCTTCTGTTTAACTGGCAATGTCAGAAATTATTGACCTGAGTCCCCCACAGCGCAACACAACAGCATTGGCTTTATTTCCTATATTTCGTCTTCATACTTTTCTACTGGATGGTTAAGACCAAGGTAAAGCAGGACCTATGCAACAAGAGTTGTAGCTTTTTGGTCTGAGAAGGTCAGTGAAATGCCCTCAGGATTTATCCTGAGATCCTGTACCTCAGATTGTAGAACCTTGGTAAGTGTCAGCCATATGGATGAGTCACGGCCATTGCTTGGCCAATGTGCTCTCTGTGAAAGCCTGAGAGAGTGTCTTCTCCCCATGTGACTCTCCTTAGGCACACTCTACGTCATCGATCACTTTCCTCTTTGGTCCCCAAATTTTCTGATCAAGAAGATTATAAAGAGCATTTTAAGAGGACTAGCATAGCACATGTTTATACTTTCTTTGGATAAGGAGTGCTGCCAGAAAAGTGCTGGAAAGCCAGTCACTGTGCATGGAACCCCGCTGATGAGCTTGAAGAGCTCAGCAAGCGCTGGATGATGAAAGGCTGTGCTAGAGTGCCCACAGGAGAAGGAGCCGTGGGGCCACATGAGGGGAGGCACACGCTACCTGGGACAGCGAAGCAGTTAAGAGGACAAAGGCTGTTTACAACTCTTTGTAAGAAGTACATGAAACTGGGGTGGTGTACATGCCTGTACTCCCAGCCCTGCGAGGCTGAGGCAGAAGGACCATCCTGAGTTTGAGGCCAGCCTGGGCTACACAGTGAATTTGAGGCCAGCCTGAACTACATAGTAAGACCTTGTGTCAGAAAACCAAATTTTAAAAAATAAGACAGGTGTGGTTGCACACTCCTCTAACCCATGCAGGAAGGAGGATGTTGTCTATTTGAGACCAACCTGCGCTACAAGGTGAGCTCAAGGCCAGCCTGAACTGCTTAGTGAGACCCTGCTTCAAAAAAGATCAATAAACAAGAAAGCAAGCAAGCAAGCAAGCTAGCTCGCTCAGATTTTTAACTTAGTGCTTCCCAACCTTTTTAAAAAAGACAAAAAATTTCCTGAGATGGTCACTTTCACGAGAAGCTACCTGATGACGTGCTCCAGTGACGCGTGGGAGAAACCAGGAGAAAACAAGAGACAGAATCAAGGCACCGAGCTCCAGCACGGCAGGGAAGCAGCAGACCTGCGGGGCCGACAGACACGTGCAGGCCAGCAGCCGCGGTGAGTCTGGAGGGCCTGGCCGAGAGCAGGACAGGGCTGCAGGCGCCCAGGCACGCATCTGCACGGAAGCACTGAGAAGACAGCATCGTACTGGGGCATACGTGGGGAGGAAAGCAAGAAAAAGGGAGCTAAAAATGACGAAGCTCAAGTGGTCTTTCTGGGGAATTAAAAGAAGTAGATTGGCTGGCAGGAGGTAAACTGAAGTCTCTGTAAAATGCATATACTTTACACAAATAACAACAACAACAAAACCATTAAAATGCTGCAAATGCTTTATTTTCCTTCTTAGGAGCCTACTATTCAGCAGAGCATAGATCATATATGATGGAATTTCCCAAAGGGTCAAATAAACACCCAGAGCAAGAAGCCTGTCACCAGGAATACCGAAAAGCGCACTAGCTTTCTGGCTGGCAGCACTGTGGCATCTCCTGCTAAGTTACTGAGTGCGCTGCACCGCGCAGTCCCGCGCATGGTGGGCTGTCCTGAGGCAGAGCCCCAAGGACCACCGCGTCTGCGCTTCCGGGAGCCGCCCGTGCCGAAGGCACATTGGGCACTGGTCGTAAACCAGGTCGTGGTGCCAAGCAAGGGAGCTGAGGTTCTTGCTTTTGTTCTCCTTGTCCAAAACCGAATTATGCTGTTTTCTACTTTATTTGCATTGTCTTGTGGTCTGTTTCCCATATAAATGCTATTTATACACTTGGTAAAGTAATAGTTGGTTATAATAAGAAATGTCTGAGAAGAAAAATTTTAACATGCAAAAGCAATTTAATGTCTGGTTTCCCACAACAAAAACTACTCCCCCTCCAGTTTTTTGGGACTGGATCTGATTTGACAATAAATTTTGTTTCCTTTTTTCTTCTCCTTTAAAAAAAAAAGTTTAGCTTTAGATTATAACCTATTTCATAAATATATACATTTTTTGGTTCAAATCAAAATATTTGTGTTTAAAGTACTGCATTAGTATAGTTTATAACAGAAAGAAACCAGGAACTAACAATCCTATAATAAGACATTCTCATGTAAATTAGATTTTAGGAGACCAGGCCAAGAGGAATGTCTGGTTACACCTGTGCCTGCCCAAATTATACTCAAATTATACAGAATTCCGAGGGAATTGAGGCCCAGGCCAACTGTGCAGTGTGTGCCAGCAGCTCCTAAGAGATGAGAGGCCAGTCCTGCTAAGGAACATGTCCCCAGCTGTCTTAAATGTCCACAAGAACGGTGGAAAGTTTATTCTGTACAGACATAGGTTTGAAACATGAAGCAATTTCTACAGCATCCATTACATGCTCTACACAGAACAGCTACAGATTGTTTGTGAATGTTTAAGGCTTTATTCTAAGACTCGAGCAAAAACCTGAAAACGTTATTACCTTCAAACTCCTAACATCCGAGTATAAT